GACGTGGGGCTTGATTTATGAAAAACGCTGATGATACTAACGGCAGTAACCAAGCAGAAGACAATAGTAATTGGAATGGCTATATTGCTGATAAAATGACTGTAACCGTGGCAAGTCAGGCTAAATGTTGCGTTGTGTGCTGCATCAACATGTCTTTTCCTGCTTGTGCATAAATACAAATGTCATATGTTACGTTGTACTGCATCAACATGTCTTTTCCTGCTTATGTCTAAGTACAAATGACATATGTTTACTTGTGTGTTACATCAACACGTCTTTTCCTGCTTGTGTATAAATACAGATGTAATATGTTTACTAGTGCGCTGTATCAACATATCTTTTCCTGCTTGTGTATTAGTACAAATGCCACGTTTACTTGTATTTTTATGATGCAATTTTCATCCACGAAAGTGTAATGTTTGTAACAGCTCTCAATATTCTTTATTTACGAGCCCGAGTGTACTCTGTGTGTGAACATGGCAGAAACAAGAAACGAATGTCTTTTAATAATTTACAAATAAATAAAATGAACTTAATGCAGAACTGAACAAACTTAGAAAAAATTAACCCTCAAGTGACCGAGTGGGGTCATTTACGACCCCAGCCATATGATTTAATGTGCCATCTCTTTATTTTTTACTCGAATTTTCTTTCCTTGCATGAGTTTGTCAGTCTACTATTCCTACACACTTTCACAGTTTTTTGTAGGGATCAACCAATTAGTGGGGCGTATACATCAAAAACTCTTGTGGGGTCATTTATGACCCCAAAGAGAAGCATTTGTTTTTACATATTAGTTTTTAAATTTTATTCAAATGTTTTGCCCACGCAACACTGACAGGAAAATGTCACATGCATGTGCTTCATGCAACCAGCCAGTGTGCCCAAAACATAGGCACAAATAAGTGGTTTGTGAGGATTGTGCTTGAAGTTTTACTAATAGTGCATCGCTGAATCTAATTTCAGTAGCTTTGTTGGAACTTGTTCTGATAACTGGGTCTCTCATTTTGACGGTTACAATTTTTGGGTATTTCGGAAATCTAAATAATTCTGTCAATATCATATTATACATATATTAACAAATTGTTTGTGTGGATTTTGTTTTATACACAGATGTGGTAGTAACATACATGTAGGTTGATTGAATGTGTTCTGAGTAGTATGACTTCCTTACCAACATTAGGGTATTCCCTACATAGCAAGTCAGCTAATTATTCTTATTGAAGTTAGCAGGATGCTATCTCAACATAAATCAAAATATTCTTACTCAAAGTAATTTTGTAATGAACTTTTTTCATTAAGTATGGCAAATTAAAAGAGAAATATTTCTGCAAGTGGAAACTGACAAGGACTGTCTAAATACCGGTGTAATGTTGTTCTTAAAATCTGTGCTTGGTTATTTCATGCAATAAAAGTATTATTACCAAATACTCATTACATTAGATCATTATAAAATACTTGTCTTAAATCCTGGGAGTAGTATGGGTGTGATAAAGCCTCAACAGCCTTTTAAAATAAGGATCCCTGTGCAGAGCACAATGGGGTCTTAGATGACCCCACTTGGTCATTTCAGTCAGTAAAATAGCTCGGTCTCTTGAGGGTTAAATGAATAACATAATTGAACTAAAGATACTTACTAAATTTCTAAACTAAACAAGGATGAAAATAAATGATAAGCACTGAAATGATCAAACTAAACTTAGAGAAATACAAAATCTAAACACAAAGAAAATGAAAAGTAAACCAATCAAGTCTATCATACCTGTGTGTGAACATGGCAGAAACAAGAAACGAATGTGCCGCGAAACAAAGAGGGGCGTGTTTTATATAGAAACGAAGACACACGGACACAAACGATAAGTCACGAACACACTTCTCTACAACCACAATCATACATCATACATACACATGTTACATCCTCTCCCGCCAACAACAAATGGTTTCCACACCATTTACAAAACGACAAGGGAACATCAATTTTTTCCATTTTATTAGTTTTTTCTGTACAATATTTACAAAAAAAATAAAATAAATATTCTATATGCTAATTAAAACACCCAGTTGCTATCATTATACCAAACTGGTTTTCTTCTACTTCTCTTTGGACGATATGATGAGTCGATTTTTCTCCTCTGTTCCTCACGTAACTCTCCTTCCTCTAATGGCAGTGCGTAAATTGGCAAGAGCATATTACGATGAACCGTTTTGGTTTTCCCAACACCGTCTTCTCTCTTTATTGTAAAAACCGGAATGTCTTTATTCGGTTGTGATGAGACAATATACACCTCTTTCTGCCAACGGTCAGCGAGTTTGTGCTTCCCAGTAAAAGCTACATTACGCAAAAGAACACGATCTCCAGTCGTCACTACACTTCCTCTTGATTTATTATCGAAATGTTTCTTCTGCTTTCTCTGTGCTTTTTCAATATGCTCAGCTGCTAATCGATATGAATCGCTCAACCTCTGTTTCAAATCATCGACATACTGACAGTGGGAGGAATTTTGGACATTTTCTGGAAAAGAATCTAGAAGCAAATCAACTGGCAGTCTAGGATGTCTGCCGAACATCAGGTAATAAGGAGAAAAATTGCTTGAAGTATTACGGGTACAATTGTAGGCGTGCACAAGCGAGCCAATATGTTTCTTCCAACTTTTCTTTTGAGTTGGATCTAGCGTTCCCAACATATCTAAAAGTGTTCTATTCATTCTTTCACATTGGCCGTTTCCCATTGGGTGGTATGGTGTTGTTCTGGATTTTTTTATTCCCGCCAATTGACACAGCTCATTTATTATCTTTCCTTCAAAATTTCGGCCTTGATCAGTATGAATACGACTGGGAAAGCCATAATGCACCACAAAATTGTAGTTAGACAGCTCGGCCACCCATCGTTGACCTGTGGAATCCAATTTTGCAGACGTTAGCACATATGTCAAAGGGTTGTTATCTGTTCTGACTGTAAAAGAATTTCCATACAGGTAATCAGAAAATTTTTCTGTGACGGCCCATTTTAACGCTAAAAATTCCAATTTATGAATGGAATAATTCTTTTCACTTTGTCTCAAACCTCTACTTGCGTATGCAATTACCCTGTTTTGACCTTCCTGATTCTGGTAAAGCACAGCACCCAGACCGACTCTACTGGCATCCACCCGCAATTCAAATGGTTTGGAGAAATCTGCAAATGCTAAGATGGGTGATTTAGTACATGCATCTATTAACTTTTCAAATGCATTCTGGTGTTCTGGAAGCCAATTGAAATTCTGTTGAGATTTTCTAGACTTTTTATTCACTTGGTTCTTTGTGAGTTCATGCAATGGCCGAGCTATTTTACTGAAATTTTCAATGAAACGACGGTAATATCCTACAAACCCTATGAAAGAAAGCACATCTTGTACACACTTTGGAACAGGCCAAGACTTCAAAACCTCAATCTTTGCTGGATCAGTTTGTACTCCATCTTTGGAAACAATGTGTCCAAGGTATTGGATTTTCCGCTGAAATAAACGGCATTTATTAGGTTTGAGTTTCAACCCATGATCTTGCAATCGTCTCAGCACATCTCTCAGCTTGGTTACATGTTCCTCATACGTTTTGCTGAAAACTATAATATCATCCAAGTAAATTAAACAATTTACTAGATTTAAATCCCCCATGCAACTCTCAAGCAGCCTTTGAAATGTCATAGGCGCATTACAACACCCATACGGCATGCGTACACACTCATAAAAACCTAAAGGACCAACCTTAAATGCTGTTTTTGGTATGTCAGACTCCTCAATCTCTACTTGCCAATATGCAGACTTCAGATCCAACACGCTGAACCACGAAGCACCATGTAGAAGATCTAGTGTTTCGTCAATTCTCGGCAAGGCGTAAGAATCTTTGATTGTTTTAGCATTTAGCTTCCGAAGATCAATGCAGAAGCGTAGTGAGCCATCTTTTTTTCTCACTAGAACAACACCAGAGGAATATGGGCTTAAAGATTTTCTTATAACACCAAGATCCAGCATCTGTGCTATGTGATCTCTAACCTCAGCAAACATTGAAGGAGGAATGTGACAATGTTTTGACTGAAATGGGACATCGTCTACAAGATTGATTTTGTGTTTAACCAAAGAACATTTTCCTAAATCAAAGTCATGTAGAGAAAACGCCTTTTTGTGTTCAAGTAACAACTGATTCACCTCAGACACTTGATTTTCGTCAAGATTTTCCTTTAAGATCTCAGTGAACTGTTCAGCAAAGGATATAGAACCAGAAGTATCACCTTCAACAGAATGTGATGAAGATTTTGAAGCAGGTACTATAGAAGCCTGAGAAAGCTTACAGAGTTTTGATCCATTGGGAATAGCAATGTTATGGTTGGAAAAATTAGTAATTTCCACTGCAATCTTTTGAGTTGATAAACCAGGCTGCACCACATGCACACTAGGAGAAAGTATCAACCCACCTGGTAGAGCAGATTCTGAAATTTCCTCAGTCATGGCTACAAGACGTTGACATGATACTACTCTCGACAAGCCGTTAATCAATACCTTCTCACCTTTAGGCACTACAATTGTCTTGGTAGCGCAGACGTTACCCAATATTTCAGTGGCATTCTGTAAATAACTCTGGTTTTTTAGAGTTTTTAGGACCAACTTCAAAGGCATTGGTAATTCGCCATTTCCCATTCTACTGACACCAATATAAAGAGACAGGATGTTTGTTCCAAGAAGAAGTGGAGTTTTGGCATGGTATTCCGTGTCTGGAACTACAAGAAAAAGACAGTCATGTTCAGTAGAGTCATCCAACTCGGACAGTTTCACAGATGCTTCTACATATCCAAGATATGAAATTGCATTGCCACAAGCTGATTCTAATTTTATGATGTTATTGAGTGGTTGAATTTCTAAATCAAAGGACTTTGCACAAGAAGAAGATACTGTACTCACAACCGAACCAGTATCTAGCAACGCCTTCACTTCCTTACCCTGAAAAACAACTGGTAACTCATTAGCATTACCTACAAGATGTTTCACTACTGATTTTGGGCATTTCGAGACAGAGCCTGCCTGTTGCCCTGCTCGACAGGCTGATTTTCGTTTAAATGGTTTTGAGAAGGACAATTTATTTGTCGGTGTCCTTGATTTCCACAATGCCAACATCTACCGGTAAAACGTACCTGTTGAAACCTTCGCGGTTGAGATGAATTCTGTCGACTCTGTGTACTTAATTGACTCTCAAGCACACTCATTCTTTCTTTTAGGGAATGTACTACCTCTAATAACTTGTCAATCTTATCCTCTGCCTCAGAAGAAGATTGTTGAACTTTACATGTAAGGGGAGATCTTCCTTGTTCTTCTAATTCAATTGTTCGCGCTTCCACCAAAAGCTCATCAAAAGTTGCCCCGCTGTCATATCTGTGTCTCAACAATTGTCTCACTGAAGAAGAATAAAGACCATTGTAGAATTTCAATCTCAACATAGACTTAGCACCATCTTCAGAAACAGCAGGAGGTTTTTTGAGAGTAAGTTTGGAAACCATATCTTCAAGTCTACAAGCCCAAGCTGCTACACTTTCAGCTTTTGTCTGATTAGAAGCGTAAAACTGTTGTAAAATAATCCCTGAAGATAGAACATCACCATAGACATGATCAAATTTTGTCAAAATGTCATTCACATCAACTATCTCGCCTAGATTATACAACGTTTCTGCAGCTGGACCCTTCAATGAACGTCTAATTGCTTGTAATAATACTGAATCTGAGTACAGTTTATCTCTATATAGGGCTCTTACCTCATAAGACCACTGGCGGTAAGTTGCATCTTTAGAGTCATTTAACCCTGAAAACAAAGGTAACCTAGGGGGGTGGGTATATGACACAAGTTCAGGCACACTTGTTGCACATCTCTCACGCACACCCTCCACTCGAGGACTCTGACTAAATTTGACCCCAGAATTCGGCGTTTGAGGAAGACGCCTCCTTTTTGGTGTTGAAACTTTTGGAAAAGTTTTCTCATGTCTTGTAGAAGTAGAATTAGAAGTGGAGGTAGGTGTAAGTGCGGACTGAAGAGCGTCCACCACCTGAGACACCTCCTTCAAGGACATGTTCTTAAAACTGGAAATCACGTCAACTACCGATAAATCGCGATTTGTCTCTAAAAGCGAAAGTATATCTTTCTCAGCTGTTTTGGAAACTCTTCTTATTTCCA